TCATTTATGAATTCATCTCTAGATGAGGCAGAGATGGCAGATTTACCTTTTCAAAGTTTTGGATCTAATAAAACCCATTGTATGCAATACATAACTCAAAAAATGCTTGGCTTTATGGAAGTGGTTGCTACAATTGGTAGAGTCTCTTGAAAGAAAATATGTCTTCATAAACATAGCAGGGTAGGCGAAGACTACTGCCACAGGGAAACAAGATGCTTCTCAGTACTTTATTGACTTCACATGAAGATCAATTTTAGCCATTTATAACCAGCACACTTCCACATAGGGTGAAATTATCTAGCCCACCCACAGATGGATTTCTATTTAAAAGTCTCAATTGATTGCTTTGGGAAGGATACTCTACAGACGAACCCCTATCTTTCAAGGATAGAAAATTAACAACCCAGGTGAAGTTAACTAGAAAAACAAAAAAAGAGAGGAATTATATTTGACAATGTCCTCTTACAACCCAGTTCATCTTTGTGGACATTAATGTGAGTTACCTCCAGTATCAATGTGCTATTTTTAACTTAGAATATTCAATCTTTGCTCAAAATAAGACATATGATTAGTATTTGGAGGAATCGATTTGCTTTAATTTAAAGAAGAGGAGTGTAAATGTTCTGGAAAAAGGAAAAAAAATTAAGCTCTTTATAAAACACAAATCTATGGGCTTCTTAAATATTTCCAAAGACCCGCTCATTTTTAAATTCTGTCCAAACTACCCAGTCTCTAACGGGGAGCTGTGCCCCTCTTTTCACTGAGTTATCTGCAATACAGAAGGCTCTGAGGTGTCATTTGTACCTGTGTATAGGATGCAACTGTTCTGGGTCTGCTATTCTACAGTTACATGTCACATTACCCTAATTGATACTTCTGCTATCTAAAGCCATTAACACGTTATATGAGTTAGGCAATCACCTAGGTGACTACTCTGCCCCATGTCAGCTGATATATGTATGTGTGCACATGTGTGTGTGTGTAAGGTACACTAGTGCATCTAAGAAGTTCAGTTCATTAAATTCTTGTTCTGTAACTCTCAAATTTGTTTATTTCCACTCCCAACACACCTGAGGGATATGAGATACTCCTCTCAATAAAAACAGTTCCTGGAGAGGGGCTTGGAAGGCACACATCATTCACTGGATCTTGCCATTCAAAAAGCCTCCCAAGTAGTTTGAATAATGCAGCCCATACCCCTTGTGGGTGAGGTGACAGCAGAATGAACCCCACCATACACTTGGGGCTGAACGTCCCTTGTCTAGTAAAGCATTCAGTATCCTATGGACCTAGGCCACACGGCATCTTCTGTTCTCAGGTTGTGTCCAGCTCCAACCCCTTATTCAACTCTCTTCTGAAGTTAAAGAGGCCCATTTTTTTCTTATTTGCTTCTGAGCTTGGATAAGAAGAGAAACAAAGACAGATGACACCACTTCCCTGTAGATCAGATAAGCAGGGCCACCTGTATTCCAGCAGAGGAGGACTAAATGAACCTCCCCAACTGATGTCGGGATCTGCTTTACAAAGACAAATCCCATTTCACTCCAAAATTTGTGATCCTGCAGAAAATAAAATCCTCCTCCGACTTAAGCACAGACATACCAACATGCAGTTAACTGACAACACACAGATCCCTTGCATCAGGTTTTGATTAAGAGAACACTTAGGAATGCAAGGACTGGAGAGGCTGACACAGGAGGAGCAAGACTGAAGAAAGTGGTAAATGGGACTGCCTGGAAGGTGTTGTCTCCTTCGCAATTTAGTTCAGAAGATGCTGCAGGTGAAAGACATGGTCTTCCCAAAGTTATCCAAAAAAAAAAAAGAGAGAGAAGTGAGACATTTAGGAATCACTTCCAAATTTGGTCCAAATATTTTCCATAAAAATTTAAACACATCTCAACCACATTCTTAAAACCCCAATTAATTTATGTGTATTGTTGAGCAGGACAGTAAGTTCATGAATTAAGACCTTGTTTGTCTCCCTTATGATCAAGGTTCATTGCATGTTTTCAATGGAGATGCTCTATCCTCTTCAACTGCATTATCCAGGAATAAGTAGCAATACATTAATTTCTGGGCATATTTTCAGATTCTGTGAGTCTTTTACTACCCTGAAAGGGCATAAGCTTGAAAAAACTGTCATAAACTTATTTTTACTCAAGTCATAGCCTTTGAAAAATTATTATTTAAGAAAAGTATTGTTTTTTAAAAAGGAACTATATGCCAATCTCCAATGCACTAACTGCTAATCATTTCTCTGATAACTATTCTAATATTTCATGCCCATCCTAGCATACATGTATAAACAAAAGTCATCCATACATAAAGTGGACAATTTTCTATCCCAATTGTTTCATAATTATTACAAACGGAGTGCTAGCTGAAAGTTGCATAAAAAACCAAAGTAAATTAAAGTAACATAATAATGATAAGTTGCTATTATCTAATTCACATTCTGTGGTTCCAGAATCACCTGTAAGATGGACTAGGCACCTACATATTCTCACTGATGGACTTTTGAATGACAGACGATTTTCAAGTCCAATAACTTGGTTAATAACAGGATTTGCTGCTTCTAGATGTTAAATGCTCACTCTGGGCCAGTGAACTAGCATGTTAGCCATGACAAGTACCATAACAGCTCCCCCTCCTGGCGATAAATGACCCATTCCCTGCACTTCAGTCAACAGCGGCAAGAGCTGCTGCCCTTTCGTGTGCTGGTCAGTGTCTCAAGAGATGGCCTGGGGCACTGGACGCTGCCCAGAGGGTCAGTAGAACTCTGTTACCCAGTCATATGGGGTCCCTCCAGAATAACCCAAGAAATTAAGAGAATTAACCAATCGGTGAGGAAAGAATAGAGAAGAGAGAAGCCAGATCCCCCCTGCATAAAAACTAAACCCCTGTTGCCTTCAAATGGCCTAGCATTTCCTTCAATAGCCCAAAAAAACCAAAGGACATGACCAGGTCCTGATGGAAGCCTTCACCTGCATTTTCTTATTAAATAAACCCAACAACCTAATACAATCTTATTATTCCCATTTTGCAGATAAGTTGATTCTCTGGCAAAAAAAAAAAAAAAAAAAAAATGCAAACAAGCTTGGAAAACCTCACATGAGCACCTTATCCACCACACTCCTCAAATCCTTGCCCACTTTTGGATGGGCACCAGGCTACAGGAGGCAGCCAAGATTGACAGGAATTACAAAGGGATTGGCGGGAACCAGAACTGGTTTATAAGGGGAGGGAAACCAAAAGGAGAAGATTCATATGAACGTTTTTCTTTCCTCTAAAAGTGGTGTTTTTGAACCACAGTTGCTAAGTTAAAAATAGAAAAGAGATGCCTTGGAGCAGGTGAGGAGGGAGTTCAAATCAGAGAGAAGAGTTACAGAAATGTCTGAGCTGGACCTCACCCCAGAGCAGAAAATGCCACATGGCACAGAACTGGGGTGGCTGGGAGGAATCCAAGATGCGGGAGGAAGCCTGGAAAAGTCTGGTTCCACATCTTCCCTCTAAGCAAGGAGTCTGCTAACCCAAGAGAAATGGTTAACAATTGCCTAGTTTCCCTTGAAAGTTTCCAGAGATGGAGAACCAGGGCAACTCTGGCTACATGTTTTAATTGTGTCCTTTTCACTGCCAAGAGGCGCTTCTTAATGTTCTGCTCAAATGTCTCCAGCACACCCTGAAGCCTGTTTGTGCCTCTTCAGGACTCCTTAGACACAGAGAGCTTCTGTTTAGCATCCTCCTTATTTGAGAAAATCTCATCAATCTGAAAATAGCCATTAAGTTGTCTCAAAACATTTTCTCTTCTAAACTAGGGAAATCCATACAGAGACTGCACAGCCACTCAAGGGGATGTTACAAAGAGGATTCCAGCACCATGAGTGGGCCAGACTAGATGTGCCCCGAAGATATCTGCCAAGCCAGAAATCCTTTGATTCAATACCTTTCATCTTCGGTGTGACATTTCCCATCACTTTGTTCATATTTGTCATAATATCTGTCATCTGTCCAACTTCTCCATATTCTTTTAATACGTTTAAATCTAATGTGCATAAGAACCACTTTTCACAATATAAAACAAAGGCTCATTAATTCAGATTAAGTTGAAAAATTCATGTCCCACTGAGTAAGAAACCAGAGTGAGAAGTATTTTCAATTAAACAAATTATGTCTATTACAGAAGACTACATACTGGTTATTAATAAATGAGAAAGTCAATGAAAATGGTGAGTTAACAATAACCTTATTTTTATGGCACTTTATACTTTTCAAAGTGGTTTTACATGTATCATTCCATATTTCCAATTTTATTCAATATATTAATGCAACATATGGGTAATGGATCACCAACCCTAAATCAAAAAGTCTCGATTTATCCTGCTAAATTTGAACTTTTAATGCAATAAGAATTATATATAATTATTCTAAGTCTGTATCAGAGCAGTCTGAATTAATAAGGTTCTACTCTATCGTAGCTATAACAAGCCTGACAATTTTATGGTCATCTTATCTCCCAGAGTGTCACTCCCATCTACACATTAGTAATACTGTTTCTTCATGAATGAACTTTCATCATAACACAGCATCCCACCCTAAAGAAGTTTCACAAAGTAAATTAAATAGCTCAAATACCATAGAAATGTGTTCTATGATAAATGTGCTAAGAGTTTATTATTCTCTTTAAAAATGCTTGCTTGAATTTAAAATGAGCCTAATAAGGAGGTTGTCCTAAGATGACAAGGACCCAGTATATTACAGAACTTTTCACCTTTCTCTTTGGTCAGAAAAAAAAAAAAAGAGTCAAAATTAATCCAGTTAATTGTAAGTAATGGAACTAAACCAATACATGTAGAAACTCAGACACAGAATGCCCGATTTGAGGAACCCGAAAGGGTCTATGAGCACCTTCGCCATCTTCACTCTCTTCCCAAACCTATAGTTGGAGTCATAGCATTTCACCATCCTTTCACAATGGTCACAAAGACAATGCCTTTACCTACCTTAAAAAGTCGTAAAATGTTAGCAACCATGATGGACACGGAGCTTGCTGCAGCACCTATGACACCAGAAATCTTGTCAGGCTTGGTGAAAATGGGTGGATCTCCATTAGCACACTTCACATCCGAAGCGTCTTTCTCTATTAATGCCTGCACGAAAGTTAGAGACTGTTCCAAAGCATAGGTGTCCCTGGAGCAGGTGTCGAGGATGCGGACACCCAGAGTGATGTTGGAAAGGAGATCAGGGTCCTTGTTAATCTGGTCAATTGCATAAAGCATGGCCTCCAGTCTGTGAATCCCCTTTTCCTTCTTCAGCTCCCCACAAGGCACCCCCCTCTCTCCCTTTGCATGGACAGGGAAGAGACCCCCCAAAATAATGTCCCCATCCACCCGTATGGAATGGGCATACTCCTGGCTGTGAGTTCTTTGCATCATTGTGAGGATCCAGTAGAACTTGGCGGTCAAGAGGAAGAAACAAGGGCAAGAGACAGATCGCTTTCCCTCGCATACCATTTTCTCCACAGGTGATATTGCAATCCAAGAACCAAAGTTTATTCTTGCCACAGAAGAAGGGGGACCACCTGAGGCTGCACCTTCTGGAGGCTACCATCAGGGCCCATGGGGAAAAGGCTCTGTGGGCATCAGCAAGTTTTCTTGATTTGAACGTCACAGTGAATTCCCATCAGACCCCTATGGTTCAATTTTATTTCCTTGTAAGATCAACTTGCCTGGAATGGTGCAAAAATTAGAATGTCTGAGGTTCTGATGTTGGGATGAGGTCAACAATTCATGTCCTTGAAATCAGCCTTGTAGCAGAATTATTCCTGGGAAGAGGAGGAGAAAAGGGGGTTCAGTTCAGGGAGTCGAGATGTTGCACATTTTTCAGCCTTGTTTATGCCAGCCTCTTTTTAAAGAATCCCCTATTCAGTAAGAAACTAATTCTTTTTGTCCCCCTGTGATTCTGAACACCTGGCTGCACTGCATCTAAACAGGGAGATTGATGACACTTTTGGAGCAAGGGAAACAGAACAGTCAGTATCAGAAACTAGGTTGATTCTCCCAAACCAGAAAGCATTTTTATTTATCATTTTATTTCAATAAACCTTTTTTTCCATGAAGGTAAAAATTCTGCAATGGGTGGCACCATTTCTTTTCAAATCTGTTTTTATTTTTTTGCAGCTATCTGAATTTAACATTCAAATTTTGTCAACAAAATCATAATAAAATTTTATTTTCTGTGATGTATTCAACAAGCCAGTCATCTGTTAATGACTTTTTTTTCTTGGTGCCTCAAATTACCCAGTAGGAAAATGTGATTATTCAATTACAAAAAAGCAAAAGAGATAAAGAAATCCACCCAAAGAGCTAAAAAACCTGTAAGTTTTGTAGCTTGTGAAAAATATTAACAGAAAGTCAGCTATTTCATATAAATTATCTTATTCTTCTCTGGTAAGAAAACAAAGACTTGAAAATGAAACACCCGGGGAAGGTGACCTGTGAAGATTTTCCTATTACCATTGTCAGGGTTTCCAATTAATTTGTCAGGGTGGGAGCAATGGGTATACTAACAGCTCTGAGAGAAACATGGCTTGATCCCAGAATTACTAGGAGCAAATCAGAGTTGGTGATCAATTGAAGAGCTGCTTAATTTTGTCTGACTCGGTGGGGAAAACAGTTATTTCATCAAGATTAGAAATAACTTGGGGTGAAAAAGTCTACAGGCAAATCTACAGAAAAAGTTTTTTTTCCTACAGCCTTCCCCCTTAATTCCGTAAGATTTTTTTCAAATGACTGTTGTTTGTTTATTATTATTATTATTTGTACTTAGGTTCTGGGGTACATGTGCAGATCATGCAGGACTGTTGCATAGGTACACACATGGCAATGTGGTTTGCTGCCTCCATCCCCTCCTCACCTACATCTGGCATTTCTCCCCATGTTATCCCTCCCCAACCTCCCCATCCCCCCATCCCTCCCTTGCCCCTGCCAACAGACCCCAGTGTGTGATGCTCCCCTCCCTGTGTCCATGTGTTCTCATTGTTCAACACCCACCTATAAGTGAGAACAATTATTATTGTCAAATGACTTTTGAAGAGATGTGACTGAAAATGAGAACTGACTTAACACAGGGAATCTGAGATTTGTAATGCACATCTCATTAAGAGAATAAACAGCACCAATTTACTTTGGCAGGATGGTTAATCTAATGCTCATTTCTAACCTATTTATATATGAGTTTGAAATCTGAAATTTGGACAGTTCTCCTGTACCCTAGCCAACCAACATCTGCTTGTATTTTCCATTCACTTGTTCAAGTTCCAGTTCGTAAAATTTTCTTTTCATCCTTCTTGTCCCAAAAGGAAAGATGGTGCTTCCCTGGGGGATAACTGAACATATGCCCAAATGCCTTCAAAGAAAGCTGCACTTTTTGCACTTTCAAATTAGAAAAGAGGGGCTCATAGCAACCCACTGCCCCATATTTCTGAGCAACCACCTGGCAGCCTGGCCAGCCAATGGCCCACTCGGCTGAAACAGTTCTGTGCAGCCTAAGACAAGTATTCCCTGCCTCCCGGCACACATTAAACCTTAGATTTCCACTGTGCTTCCCCCAGAATACTCAGTCCTTTCTGATTGTTCTCACCACTTAACTGTTAGTCCCTCATACTCCATTCTCCTAGCAGCTGCTTTTCCCTCAGAAAATCTGTGATTTTAACAGCCTGACCTCCGGCATTCCACAAAAGGAAACACTTAGAAAGTCAACCTGACTTTCTGGATGAAACCGTTTAAGTGATAGGCCATAAATTACACCAGCCACCCATTAAGAGAAGTTAAGATTTTGTTTCACAGTTTCACAAGGAAAACCAGTCACATGATAGTAAAACCTCATTAACTCCGATCACTAGTTAAGAATATGAGACCAAGTCCACATGGCCCTTGTTCTGACAGAGCACAGAATAAATTGATAAATAAGGTGAAGGAGAAATGTCTGTTTAGGGGCAGTGGATGGGGCCTCTTGTTCTCCAAAGGCCTGCCTTTCCTCTTTACACCAAGCCATCCCGGAAGTACTTAAAACACTTAAGAGAATAAATGGTTTTCAATTATAGATGACATACGAACAGCCCATCTGTTCATCACAACGCATCCTTACCTCTGCATGTGACATTAACCTAGTTCCACTTGCTATACAGTCCAGAAAGTAATAAAATTGAGTCACTTTTAAAATTATTGGTGTTTGCAACATTGTTTACTCTCTTTGGTATCTTATAGCTTTGTTTAGAGCTTTAATTTTTTTTAAAGAAAAAAAGGTTGGAGGATCAATAGCAATGAGGCAGGAATCAGTTTTGTTTAGTGGTTGAACACACCAAAATGGAAAACGACAGGTTCAGTTTTGGTTTCATTTCAGTTTCACTTATTGGACAGCTCACATGCATTTTTGCTGGAGTCTCCATCTCTGGAACATAGAATTAATTGCATGTAAGCTTGCTTTTTTGTCTGTAAAGGGGTGGCAGAACCTGCCACACAGCATGCATAGAAAGCATAGTACCTGGCTCAGTAAACAGGAGTTACTGTTGCTAACTTAGTCTGTAATTCATTTTGTACTAGAGCAGAGAGACTCTTTCTGTATTTGCCCAGTTGGTGAGCTTTTACTGAATTTCATTTGTCACTTTAAAAAATAAAAGCAGAGCTACTTATAAAATATTTAAATCTTGCAGTTATTTTAAAATCTGATACACTGTCATAAAAATCACAGACTCCATTGCCAGAAGGTTTAGTTTCCCCTTTTAAAAAATCTAAGAAAAATACATTTGAAAGTTTGTGAGTAACTGTATCAATTAGGTTTCGTTGTATAATCTTAAATTGCTTATCTTGCTCTTATACAATTCTTGTGAACTTTAATCCAAACTCATCCAAGTTTGAGTCAATGAGTTTTAAAGAAATCACAATCTTTCAGAGCTATATAAGCAAACTTTGTGTCCTGTGCTTGATTAAAAGTATAAACAACTCCTCTCTCAAACTGACCTTCCTCTGGGATGTGATGGACTTTTTCAAGGAGGTGTGAGGTTTGGACTCCTGAAACCAATCTCAGAGGGGGACAATTCGTCTCAGCATTATGTCTGGGCCCACAGGGAGGGGCCATGCAACCCTAAGGGGAGGCTTAACCATGAACTCTCACAGCTCTTCCTGTGCACACCCCTGCCAGCCCACCCTCACTTACAGGGCACATCATACACCAATGACCCCTCTATAGGCAGTCCCCTGGCCTAAGGCTCCTGGAAGCAGGCACTCTGGCTGGAACCGGAGCCTGTGGCTCCCTAAATGTGCTCTGTTTCCTAAAAGGCCAGAAGAACACCTCCTCATTGGCCAGAGCCCTGAATTCTGCTTCATTTTCTATGCATCTTCTCTGTACCAGTGTCAAGTACTTAACATAGCATATCCGTACATTTTAATATATCAGGCATTAGTTCTTGTATAAATGGGAAAAGAAGGCTCAGAGGATTGAATGTGGCCCCAACCCCTGAGCTGATGAGCTGTTGAGTGTCAATGCCACCAAAGTCATCTGTACCAAAAGATGGGTCCTGTCCTTGGGGAAAGCCCCCAGTACTGCCTGCAGGGACTATCTGTGGCAGCACAAAAGAAGGGAAGGGGTCTGCCCCTCTACTGCAATCTTTCAGAAAGGTGTGCATCTTTGATACTTAAGCTCTGGAAGAACAATAAAGTGCTATTTAGGAAGGGACAATCTGGGGGCATTTCCAGGGAGGTGATTTCTGAATCTCTAAAAGGGCCGAGAAGATCCACTGTGGTTTGTCCAAACACTTCTGCTCCAAATTAGGTCTCCTGACCAGGTTGATGCCAATGGGAACACACCCACCAACACATGCAGGGTCTCTCAGGGTCTGCCCTCACGTCTTCCTCGGGCATTTGGCAGGTATGATTAACGTACAATAGCGTAAAATCCTTGCTGAGGAATACCATTAGCCAAGAATTGTAATTTTTTCTCATAAAAAGGCCAAAGCAACATTCCTATGCTGCATTCCATTCAGCTCTTTAACAAAAAGGTTAGGCTGAATATTATCATCAATTCATACGACTGCCCACACTTGCAACTCTTGGTTGTTTTTGAAAATGCATCATATTTCTGTGTCATCTCCCATGCTGCAATATGTGTGCATGTCTGTGGATTCTTGGTCTCTTGGTGGGGCAGAGTGAGGATGGGCCAGACAGAGCTCTCCCCTGGCAACAGAGGCCTGGAATCGGATCTTTGACAGTCACTGGCTGGTGACACTGAACATGTCCCCTCACCTCTATGTGCTTCCATTTCCTTACCTGTGAAATGAGTGAGATGGGCCACATGATCTCTAAGGTGTCTTCCTGCTTCCTAGTCTGAGATTCTATTGTTTAATAATAAGGGAGTATGAGATTATGCTCAAACATCAGAGCAAGGCTTTGCCAACTGAATACAATAACTGATTTTGTTTGCAAGTTGAGTGACTTCTTTTCATCAGTGAGAGGATTGTGAAAGCTATTCTACACAAGCCAGCCTCATATTTAAAAAATCTGATACAGGAGAAGCTCGACTTACTAAACAGATAAATTAGAAAGTGATTATTTGCATTACAAAAGAATTCACCCCAGGTTTCCTTTAAATAGCTAAATCCCTGGCATTTAAAAAACAATCTGATTTAGCAGAATTCAATTTGTCCCCTTATTTTTCCAATAACACAGCTATTACACAAAGAGACCATATTTAAAGTAATGAGAAGCTACTTTTTATAGTATGTATCAGATAAGAAGAGAGAAAGCAGGTGACACCAACACTTACAGAATGCCTGCAGCATCTGGAGGTGCAGATACATTATTTCATTTCCCTCTAAAATACAACTATAAGGTTGATATCACAGCCTTCATTCAGGATTAAAGGAACCTGAAAACAGAAACATTATGTGACTGTGTCTAAAGTCTCGGATCAGGATTCAAATGCAGGACTGCCATTACGTTCTTCCCTTTACTCCAAGCCCCTGGAGGCAGGAGGCCATGCTGCATATAAAACTAACCCTGATTTGATCATATGGACCATGAGTGAGATGTTCTAGAGTCCTAGGAAACACCGATTCTAGTCTTACTTCCCCCAATATTCACTGTGTAACCCTAGAAAAGTCACTTAACCAGATCTCAGTTTCTTTGTTTCTAAAATGGGGAATGATTTCCCCCCACCTCCTAGTTTGTGTAATCAAACAATATAATGTGTATCAAAGTACTTTATAAACTTCGAAGTGCTGTTAAGAAGGCACAGGGATACTATTAGTTTAACAATCAATCCTAGAACTAAAATATGTTAGTGGTGTATTGTACTTAGAAGATCTAAGAAAACCACTTCCTCATCACACTTAGGGCCAGTCAGACCTTAACAAGGCTCACAGGTTCAAAAAAATGAACCCTGGCAAGCCTATATGAAGAGCTTAAAGGGAAACTGGAAAGGATACAAGAAGTCAATGGAGGTACCATGTCTGACCTGGAGAACTAAAGTTCATGGACACCGAGCATCTAAAGGGCTATTCTAAAGAAAGTGGTGGCAAGATAATCTCCTGTTGTGAAAACAGGACAACGTGAAATCTTCCTAAGTTATAGGCAGAATATGCTGCTTCTACTGCTGGGTCATGACCCCTGGAAAAGTCAGCCAATAAATAGCCAGCAGTTTTCTAGTTTTAGACATTACCCTGCCTGGAAAAGTATGAAATTGGCAACACATGTGCCCAATGATCGATCTCCACATACTCCTCTGGGGCCCCTCCTCCATCTTCCCACTTCTGCTCACCTCCTGCTTTGCCCTGGCCTCCCCAGAGCTAGGTGTCTTCCTTCCCTCAGCGCCTTTGTTCTTTCATTACCTTGGCCCTCCCCAGGGAGTGAATGGATTCATTAGTAGGCATCAAAGCCTGAAGATGCATTACTGTCATCCCCAAATGGAATATCTGCATTCTCAAAATGATTCCTAGGACAGCCATAATTCCTTTACAAAAGAAATATCACCATTAATAATGGTTAAGGCTGGTGATGCAACAAGCCACAGCATGGAGCTAGGAGTCAGGATCCTCTCAATAGCACCTCTCGAATCATTCCAACAGCAATGCCCACCACTCAAAGAGGGTGCCCTGGGACTAGACATTATGCTCAGGGTCCCTCCCAATGAGTGGGTGAGTTTGCCACAATTTATCAAAGGACCAAGTAGAAATGAAAATCAAAGAAGAAACCATCTTAACTGTTCTTATGATAATGTAAATACTCCTCACCAAAATAAAGAAATAAATAAAAGAAAAAAATAAGACAGAAAGCCCAAATTGAAATTCCAATTCCTAGCAGGGAAGAAAAAAAAAAAAAAAAAAAAAAAAAAAAAAAAAAAAAAAAACCACCCTCTTGAAATGGAAACAATAAGATCCAGCCAACTCTCTGCTCATAGCCTCTCCTGGAACAACATGAAGTGACCGTCCCTAGTGAATGAACCACATACAAGTCTGGGGTTGCCCAGAGTCTATCAAGAAAACAGCAAGTTTCCTGAAACTCCACAAGCCAGCCAACTTGCCAGGCATAGAGATGGGGCCCGGTCTTTGCTGTGAGTCCAGGACAAGATAAATTCAAGCAGCATCTTCTAAGACACTGGGACAGAGCAACTCCACTCCCCCAACTAAAGCAAGGTCATCTTTATGATGGGCATTCTAACTACCTGAGGAAGGTGGTGGGAAGGAAACTTGGAAGGAAAAACATGTGTGTAGTGTGCTATGTGTCATGCTCTGAAGACAATGGAACTTTCGTACACAAAGATTGCCATGTAATTGCCAATGTGAATGTCAGTGGGTTATTTGCTGCACAAATACCAATTAAACAAGCCTCGCAGCAGCTTCAACCTGCTCAGCCAACTTTGAAAAGAGCGTATCTCTCCAGACCTCTAACTTTCTCCTGCACTCATTGGAGCTCAGCTCTTCCTTTTCTCTATTCCTTCTGGATGTAGATGTTCTTAGAATTATTCAAGCAGCTATAACTTTCCAAGGATGCATAATAGGGCAGAACTAGCCAGCACAATCCAAACAGAACAAATTGAGCCTACATAACAGTATAGAGAGCCCTGTTCTCAGCATCTTCTTCTTTATTCCGGGTCAATTGTCTCCTACAAAGCCTCCCGTCATCTATTTCTCCCCACATTCTTTATTCTAAAGCAAGAATTCCCTGTCTTAGACACAGTACAACCTGTAGTTGACTCTAAAATGGGAAATCACATTTTTAAAAATCTTGGTTCCTTTTCCCTGATGGAGAAAGCTTTTCTTTTCCAAATTATCAAGCCACATATTTTCAAGAACCAGAAAATGAATTGCACACAGCTGACTTCTGCCTCCTACAGAGATCTTTCATGGTATTATTCACAAGCAAGTGACCAAGGTAAACTAAAGTGGTTTCTGTAGCCATTTGCAATTATTGACAAACAGTTTCATAACGGAAAATGGAAATTACAGGCAAGTGCAATAAGCTGTTTATCCAAGATCTACCTGCTGGTGGCTCTTTTTCTCTATTTTTCTTTCAAGCAAAATACAAGCTATCATAGGAATGCATTTCTCCCGTTCATGATTTTTCTTGTAAGTATCTCCACCACCAGCCTTGTTTTCCAGTCTGTCAGTTGGCAGGATTTGTATTCAATTGCGGTAGTAACCCAGACCCTAGTGCATTCCTGGGTATTCCAGAGACTCCCGCACCTTCAGGTTTGTGGGAAAGGATCATCCCCCAAAAAGCAAAGAAGGCATTCCCTCCCGGAGCGGGACTGCTTAGGGGACTTAAAGGTATGGGTTAATGCAACCCGAGAGGGGGTCTGTTTTCACCCCGGCTATCCTGGGTGCGCAGACACCCTTTAACCCCAGGCTTCACAATCTGGGCTACAGGGAAAGTAATTCCCCAAGGAACCGCGGGGGTGCCGTTTGCGCAACTGGGTGACTCGCGTGTCCCTCCGCATTTCATTTGCACCAAAGGAGCGCGTGTCAGACAGAGGGAATTTTTTGGTTTTTTTTTTTTTTCTTTTTTGGTGATTCTGTTATCTTTTCACCAACTGTAGGAAGCTCAAGGAATCTCCGAGTTTTTTGTCTAGGCGGATGGGCTCGCGCTTGGCGTGGCTGAGCGGTCCATCTCTACCTCTCTGTCTCTAGCTCTACCATAACAGCGGCCACTCAGCCCGCCGGGGTCCCCTGTTCCCCGCCGCACGTTCCTTTTTCTTCTCAGTACTTTAGGCTGTTGAAGCCGCGCTGTGGGTAGATAAGAGACTAGGGCCGTTGGGGAAGCGGCAGCTGATCTAGCCTTTCCCGCGCCCCGGGACACTCCGGCGCCGCCCAGGTGCCCCCGCGCGCTGGGGATGCAGCCTCCGCCCCCGCCGCACCTGGCTGCCCGAGTGCCCACACCCCGTGCGGAGCCGCACGAAACTGGGGCCGCGACGGCCGCGGGAGCTACCGAGGAGCTGTCGAGGCACGTTTGCCTTTGCTTTTTAAACAAGATCCCCGAGATCTTTTCTCCATCCCCCAACCCCCAACGGGACACAGAACTCCGGCGTTTCCCGAAAGCCACAAAAGGGGGACACGGAAATCCCAAGCTCGCCGGGCTAACTCGGAGAACGCACACTAGAGGCAGAGCGAGCGCCGTGCGGGGATGCTCTGTCGAGGACCCGAAGCGCCTGGCTTCCCCAACGACCCCCATCCCCCGAGGTCCTGGTTAGACATCCATCCAGCCCACGCTCAGAAGGCGGGGGTTACCCCGACTCATCCCGGAAGCCGCTAACTTCGGAAATCCCACCCGTTAGGTTCGTTAGGTTCGCGCACTGAAGATACCTCGTCATCTCGGCGGGGCAAGTCCGGATTCCGCCAGGGCAGGTCCGGGAGGTCACCCGGGGCAGGCGATCCGAGGCAGAGCGCTTTAAAATCCTGCCGCCGCGCGCCCCGTCAGAGCGCCGAGCGCGCCTGCTCCCTTCCCGTCACCCTTCAGTCTCCCATTCGCCGACTAAACTTTTGGGGGATCACATCTCCAAGCCTGGGGGGTTCCGGGTGAAGCCTCCCTCTTTTCTGAACCTCTTTACTGTAATGTAATCACGGGCAGACGAGAGGGGTGGCTGCCTTGTTCTTTGCAACGTAAAATCCACACACACCCAATCAAGCTCCAGCGCCCGGCCGGCCCCTCGCCCCCTGGTGCCCACTCTCCCTCTGCCCCCATTCCCGTCACCTCCGCCCGCCAGTTCTCTCACAGACTCCGGGAGCGCAGGGCCATCGACTTGTGCTCAGGAAAAGCAAATCACTAGAGTGGTGTGAGAAGCCACGGTGCACCTGGCTGTCCGCTGAACGGTTTTAGGGAAGAAAACGGAAAGGGGAATAAAACAGGGGGATTCTCCTTTTCCAACAAGCAGAGCGTGTCGGGGGAGTTGGGGGCCGGGGCTTCTCGGCCGGCGGTTCGGCATTTGCTTTCCTCAGATCCGCTTTCTGCTTACGGGCGAGTCTTACCCTGCTCCCCGCAGAGGGCGCGGTGAGGAAGCCCGCGGGCGGCCCGCAGCTCCATGTCAGCGCCTCCGCCGCCGCCGTCGCCGCGCCAGGCGAGCACCGCGGCCGCACTTGTGGCTGGTCTCGGGGCTGAGGGGGCTGCGCTGGCCGAGCCGGCGCCAAGTCTCTTCCATGTGAATAACAAATACTCCCACCGGCGGCCGCGATTGGTCTGCGCCCGGCGCCTCCAGATCCTCCGCCCGCGGCCATTCACTCGGCGAGGCGCGGGGAGCCGCGGCCGGGATCGCGCCCGGGATCGCCAATCCCTTCGCGCCAACCAGTCACCTCGGGAAGCGGGAGGAGGAACCCCCGAGGGGCGGGAGCCTCTGGATTTGGGTGTCACCCAGCGGCCCTGGCGCGGGCAGGGAGGGGGGACCCTCGGCCCGCGGATCCCCCTCCGCGCGTCAGCCCAAAGCGACGAGGAGACCAGAAATGTCAATACTTCTGATTTTTAAAAATCACCCCCACCTTCCCCGCCCCCAAGAAAAAAGGGAGGACCGAACGGCAGTGTAGGATGGTGGGAGGCGGGGAAGACGCGGGAGCGGTGGAATGGGGAATATGGCTGTGGAGGAGCCCAGCGACTCCGGCGGCCTAGGGAGCCCGGGACCGGCCCGGGGAGGCGCGACACCCGCCCGAGCACGGCGGGCCGCACCCGCGAGCCCGGGTCCCCGGGGAACACAGCCCCAGAAAGCGTCACCGAGAACAACACGTGGTAGATGACAAGTGTCGCGCCACATGCTGCTTTCTTTTCGGGGACGCTTAAAGTAGAGCCCGCAAGCTGCGCGGTTCCCCTGCAAAGTTTGCCTCGCGTCGCGCGGCGGTTCCGCCATTTGTCCCGCCCAGAGGCTCAGGAGATTGTCTCCCCGCTTCCTGCCCTCGAGGGTCTGGGGACCCCAAGGCTGGAGGTACCACACCGCGCGGTCCCTCGGCCGGCACTGAGAAAGAGGGGGCGTGGGTGGCTGCCGGGACGGTCATTTCATTGAGATGATTCAAGGAGCCGCAGGCGCAGGGCAGGAAACTCCGGGGGAACCGCGTGCGGTTCTGCAGGGAAACCTCGGGATTCCCTCCGCACGCCGCCTGTGGAAACCTGCTGGGCTCGACGTGCACATTCCAGCCCTCTCCCGGCTAGTTACTACCCCAGCCCCCCGACCCCGCACCCGCCAGAATGAGAGAACGAGGCCCCTAGCCGCCCGGTGCCGGGGAAGCTGCCCCGGCCGGGCCTTGTGTTGGTGAGAAAGTTCCATCTAGAGGCGGCCGCGCGCAACTGCAGGCGGCGACCGAGGCCTGGGCGAGCCAGGGAGAGCGGGGCGCGTGGGGGAGAGCGGGGCGCGTGGGGGAGAGCGGGCAACCCAGGAGATTCGGAGGATGGAGAAGGCCAGGAGAGACCTCGAGAAGGGAGGCTCTAATTTTCCGTTCAGCATCTCTACAATGAATTTTATCTTCAAAAGAATCATGTCAGGAATCTTGCATTAATTCCTTTATATATATATATGTATATATAAATTATTCTGCCCAGGTTATTTTAATTGTCACATCAACTCTGTGAGATGATCAAAATCATTAAGCCCACTCTACAGATGAAGGGAGAAATCGAGGCTTAGAGACACGGCTGGAAAGTATTAAAGCCAGAAATCACAGCTGCCTGGCTTCAAAACCCCATAGCACTTCCTCCCTGGTTGTGTTGGCTTTTCCCAAGGCTGGATTTAATGTGCACACTTTCGATTGAGGAGATAGCCGTCTCTCTCCTAATTTCAAAACATGACCCTTGCCCTTTATCACTTAGAAAAATCTACAGGTTTCAGCCCAGGGCACCTCTTCCCCTTTCGTTCCCTTCCCTCTCCCATCTCCCCATGAGAGGCTCTTTGATTGTAGAATCATTATTTTATAGCCACAACAACAAAAGAGGGAGAGAGGTGGATTTGGAGAGAGAAAATGGGCTGGATCCTCTAGCTGAAAACTTTTCTGCATAGGGAACCTTAATTCCCTGTGAATGTCTGGTGCAGCCCTGAAGAGAGTGATCGGTGGCCAGTGTCACTTGGGACAAGGAAGGTGAGAAGAGAGAAAAGCTCCTAATTTATGCAGAGCTGGGAATGGGTGGGCTTCTGGGTTGCATGTCTGCGTTGAAGAAGCTTTAACGATTTTCTTGTCTTGGGGACTGGAAGAGCTTCCTCTTCCTGCGTAAGTGTAAAGTAAGTGCAGCAGCCTGATTAGTATACCAGGAAGCCCACTCCACCCCAAACTCCATACCCAAGACTCCGGTCTGAGAAATGTTATTGCAGATAATGTAGAAGTGTGAATAAGTCCCTGTTAGACCCTTTACTACATGTGTATTAATACATTTGAGGGGAAAAGAGACAGGACAGAGGGGAAAGGCAGGGGAGGTCCTCAAAAATGAGGTATCCACAGCTGCTGACCACACATGGTCTTCAGGGGCGGCTAGAGGCCAGCTGTGGGGCCAGTAGGGTGGTTACCTGGCATGAGCCAAGAGGGCAGTAACCTGGTGCTCTAGTGGGCCCGTTTTAATAAGGACAATAAGGCTGGCTTTGGAGTCCTGATAAGGCTCAGTGAGCCACTTGGGGAAGAAATGCCTAATGAGCTGCTTTTCTCCTTTCTTTATTGATCATTACCTGCAGAGAACTGATGTCTTACAGGCACATCGCTGCCCTTTTTGGTGCAGCCTTCTGCGAGAAAATTAGACTTGATCTCTCGGAAGGAAAATGCAAGTCCGATGCTTCATTTTGCATCATCTTTAACTCTTGATACTCAAAATAGAGCTATCACTCAAATCCTACGTGGAATCTGATCAGTAAGGAATAGAGGCCATCTATCTATTCTTTGGTGTTTCCAATGGCTTTATGTAGTAGCCCCTGAGCAAGTGACAGAGGCTCATGTACAGGTTATCATTCGCCCAGACTGAGAGCAACATTGGGACACAGGAAGAAAGATTGTCTCCAGGAGGGACTGTTCCCTATCAGTAACAGTCACAGGAAAAAGTCATCAGCTGTTACAGCCTCTATTCCTGAGACCCAAACACCATGACGCTGCTTGCTCTTTGCTGCAGTCTGAGTGAGGGGAGAGTGTCTAAAACCCAGGCCGTCCTCCATCCCACCCCAAATGTTTATTCAAACCAAATATATTTCCTAGTAGTTAATCTTCCAAGAAGATTTGCCTATAATCTTCTCATTTTCAGTTGATTTAAAATGTGAGAAACTGCCCATGTGTTAGAAAATGCAAAAAACAATGCCATATGTTTGGGGTCCATTTAACTCAAGCTGTGATATATATTCCACACATGGAGATTTATGCCACAATTCCTGCTTTGGGGTAATCATTAAGGCTGGGAACCTTTGCAGGCTACTCACCCAGGAGAAACATCGACAGCCTGATGCTCCCACATGGAATAAAGCTGACAGGGGAAAGTGGGAATGGGATTTGTTTCTTTTGGAAACAAAGACAATATTTTTCTTGCTAGACCATCTGCACGTGGCAGTGTGTTCCATGTGGGTTTTGCTCAGTTTATTAGACACTGGCTGCTAGAAGCAAGATCAGACATGTTAGACTGAGAGAGCCAATTGAGGTTCATGACAGCAATGTCATGAATGAGTGTGTTCTGCACTTCCACAGTCAACTCATACCTGCATACGGGAGTCATGGGAAACATTCTTTAAGAATTTCTGACATACTGTATATGTGCATCTCTACTGGCTTCATTTAGGTTCCCCCAGAAGCACAACCTGAAACAAGGATTCAAGGGCAGATAGTTTAAGAGGTGAAGGGAATCCCAATAGTCATGTGGGGAAGTTAGCAAATAAAGGGTACATTATCAAGCTAGGTACCACTGTGGGCACCTGGTACCTAATCCCAGTGGGGACCTCTGGAAGTCAGTGTAGAACACAGAGCAGAGAGTGGGTCCAACTGAGGGAGGAGGGAGCTGGGATATCTATACACCAACACTTATCACATGTTAGTTAAGAACTGCTGCTGGATGATGTTTATTCTCTAGCAATTCTAGCCTATCACATAGATGGCAAAGCAGCCTCCAGAGGTTGTTTGAAGACCTCTGGGGAAAAAAATGCAGGTGCTGGCAGTTAGTAGGCAGGTGGCGTGTAATCAAGGGTCAAGGACAAGACAATATGGGAAGGTCACAGTTAGCATCTGCAACACCTGCTTAGGCAAATCTCCTAAGACATATACAAAGCAACACAATGCCTCTCTGTATGTGTTGCAAGGACCACCTGCCTCAAAATCGCTGGGGTGCTGATTGTAAGCACAGATTTCTGGGCCCTATCTCACGGCTGTTTGAATCAGACTTGCTGGGATGGGGCCTGGGAAACTGCATGTTTTGCAAACATTCCAGGAAGTGACGTTCACTCAAATTTAAAATGTACTACATTCGGAAAATCATATTCCTCGCAGGCGGCCAGCAGG